CCCACAGGATTCGCTACAAGCTCTTCTTTGTAGCACCTCCAGATTTAGTTTTAGTTTTGAAAACGCACCTAACCACTAGGTTATCCCCAACTAAGGCATGGTGTATATCAAAATAACTAAACATGCAGTATAAAAGAAAAGAACAGTATAGTGTACAGTAGAAAGAAAAGACAATATAGCATGCTGAAAGAAGAGTGTATCGTGCTAAAAATAACAGTATAACATGCTGGGAAAGTAATATAGCATGCTTTTAAATAAATAAATAAAAACTACAAGGTAAATCACACCTGTAAATTTGAGAAGTCTGCTGCTCCTTTAAGCTAGCTATTATTCACTGTATAAAGAAATATTGTTTGGAAACTTCGAGAAAATCGACGAATAAATCCACGACGAAAGATTCGGAAAAATTGACAAATAATAATAAAAAATCTCAGGAAAATCCCGAAAAAAAATCCACGAGTGCTTTGTCCAAAATTCCAAGAAAACATACGAAAAAAAATCCGAAAAGAGGGGACCGCAAGCGCTCGGGTCGGGGCTATGCTCCAATATACATCAGTAATCGGTATATATCAGTATTCGAGGGTCATCAAAGGCTACTCGGTTACCCGGATGCGTAAAGTCCGACACTCCACTGAATGTTCTACTGAACCTTACTTAGGAGGGTATTCCTTAACCCAGGATCGACAATCAACAAGTGGACAACCCAATTTGTAACACCTCTTTAAAACTTAAGTTTTAACATGCATACGTATATCAGGCATACAAAAGACAAGTTGTTTTAATTTTGATTTTGTAATGAAAATATTTTTTATAAATATTGCATCTGTCCTTATCAATTTATTTTATTAATTTTGAAAAACAAATGATTGTCCACAAGTCGATCACGTCACCGAGCCTAGGACTACCAACAGCCTAAGAAGGTACGGGTCCCCTCTAGTCTTATTCTAGTCTTATGTCGTTTCATCCTACAGTTCATCAGGTCCCAGAATTGAGTCCTGGTGTTATAGGATGAGATATCATTCTACTCTACCACCGGCGTGTCTTTGTCATCATCGCCCTGGCCAACCAATCGAGCGAAGGAAGGAATCGACACCATAAATGAGGAGAACGTATAGCCTCGAGAAGGAGAAGCGTCGGCCAGCTCGCCAACTTGTCTCCTGCAATTGGAGAGTCGAGCGGCTAATTTGCCACATGAAGAAGGGGAAGAGACGGGAGAGCGTGTCGCATACTCGAACGGCAGAGAAAAGCCGCGTGGATCAACCATGGAAGCTAGGACACGGGCGAGAGGGACAGCCGAGCGCTTCACCTGTTCGAACCCGTGAATGGGTCGAATAGATGGTGAAGGGTGTGGGTGGAGTCGTAAATAAGGCTTAGGGTTTAATGTAATTATAATTTATGGGTAAAGTTTATAAAGAGTTTTTAATATTTTTGGAAAATAAAAAATAATTTGTGTTTTATTCGTGCGTCGTAACTTATTGAATATAGATGTCTTTTCTAGAAATTTTTGACATTTCGGACGCGCTGGCGAGGTCCGTTTCGCCGTCGGAGGTCATCCGGAGAAGTTCGTATTTTCACCCGTCCTTTAGGCTCAATTGAAGACCGACCTCGTGCAATTTTGTAAATTTTGTGCATTTGGTGTGTGTATGTGACGAAAAAGTCGTGACGATGTTTTCCTAGGGCTTGAAATCCTATTAAGAACTTCTCCCTGAGTCTTCACATAATAGTCCTTAACCGCTCGTACATAAGACGATGGTTTTGGGTCATAAATGCTAGACATTATAGGAAATATAGAAAGTGTTTTTTTTTTTTAATTTCTAAAAATTGTGGGTATCAATTCTAGTTTTCTAAGATAGTCAATAAAAACTCCTAGAGCTAGATCCTAGGATCCTAGAAAAAAGAGTAGTAATGACCTCAAAAATGAGGTCAACACATACTCTCCCCATGTACCATTAATTCAGACGTTAATTTCTCTATATGTTGCCTTGCCTCCATCGCTTGGAAGGAGGAAGGTCGCTGATGCTACTCCCCAAAAGTATATGGTTTCCTGCTTCAAATGCTGATAACTCTTATAAGTATTGATTTTTTGTTCAGTGAGTACTTCCATTCACAACTATCATGTCGTCAACATTTCTGTAAAGTCTACCCAGCAATTACATATTTCATCTCCAATTTGTGTTGTCACTTAGATTATGAGAAGAGGAGAATACGATCAAAGACATACCTTTTTGGCTTTCTATGTTGAGGTGAACCTTCTATGAGGTTTTTTTAATAATTAAAAATTGTTCGGTCATCCTATAATATTATAATTAGGCGGACTCTCATGGACTTTAACAAGAGTTGAAGGGAATAGGTTGAGTTTTTATTTCAACATGTGTTGAATTTATAAAAGTTTAGAAGAACCTATCGTAGAAATATAAAAAATTATGAGCTGAAAAATAGCTGCAGGAATAGCCACAATTACGACAGCTCTCAAATTGGTAAGAAGCAACAATGATCCCCAAAATCAATTAGGTGAAAGGGGGCAAAAAGAGAGAGAGAAGACTAAACAATGCTGAAAGGCAAGTTAAATGACTAACATTACGAGTAGGAGATAAAAGTACCATGCATGCACTTTAGGGAAGCCTTGTGCGCTATAGGAAGTGGAGTAGAAGGCAGGATTTCCATAATCATGATATGTACTTTTTAGTTTTTTATATGAGAAGTTATGAATCTCCATTTTGTTTTCCCCTCAAATATACACATGGTTGCTCAATGGCATGTTTTAACATTATTAACAAGAAGGCAGCCACAAAGTCCTAGTTTCAACATTAGGAATCCAATCAAAAACAGGTATCCTAATTTTGCAAGCACAATAAATTTGCACGAGTCAAACTTTCAACTCCGAAGATTGCATGTTGTTCAACAAAATATAAATCCCATATCTCAAGTGAACTAAATATAATTTCCTTACAACTCTCTCTCTCTCTCTCTCTCTCTTGCTTGCACATGCTCACTCACACATTTTTGTGCATGTTAACGGCTATAATTTGAAATTCTCTCTCCCCCTTCTCTCTCTCTCTCTAGCACATGTGCATGCGCGTGCACACTCTTGAGATGTGTCATACTCATCCATCACCTGACATGTAAGAGGATGTTGACTCGTGGACTAAACCACTATAAATTTATGCCACATTTATTGCTATTTTTTAATTGCCTCCTCATAGAATGACTATAACCCAATATTTTCTCTCATTCTCTTACATAACTCATGAGCACGTGGCTTTTTCTAAGTTTTCTTTGAAAAAAAGGTTCTCATAGTTTACACCACAAAAGTCTATTTTCAACTATCTCATCTTCAATAGATATAACTCCAACTATTCATATAATATAGTCATTCGTTAATTCATCCTTCCTAATTTTGTTACAAAATCAACTTCACATTCTCATCTATGTCATTCTAAATTTAGCTACCGAAGACTTTATTATCTAACACTAAAATCAATACAACACTTGCATCTTTGTAAAATTTGTCCTAGAGGCTCTATAATGTCCTCTTAACATGTAGCAATCTTGAGGCAGCTCAACATTTTAACCACTCAACACAAGTATATTCGCACTCTTCTAATTTAATAGCTTTAAAGTGCTAAACATATCACATTTAGATATCACTATTTTTTCTAAAACATCTTGACTAAAAAGTATACAACTTGACAGTGTGTATCGTATATTCAGTCTTTGTTTTAATAATTGTAAGTAATTTATCTTCTAAAAATTTTATTCAATGACTTTTTGCCTGTTTTAGCATTTATCTCATTGATTAGAGACTGTTATCTACAAAAAACACGCACTTAAGGCATCTTCCTTTGACTAACATTTGTAAGCTTTTCCACAAGTAATACAAAATATATGCCCAAGTCACCCTAGAAGCGAAAGGTATAGGCTATAAATCAATCAGTGAACAGAAAGTTTTGCATTAAAAGCTATAGGTTTGACAATGGCATGGACACTAGAGTTAAAAAAAAAAAAAAAACATTGCAATTTAAATATCATTCAAAAATGTTCACTAAAGTAAATCAACATTCCTTTAAATACATAATTTCTCATCTCATATGGAGATTAAAGAGTCATGCTTGAAGATTAGCTACCTCAACAGCAGACTGGACAAGATTTGCATGTTCTATGGGTAATTTCAACCAAACACCTTTTTTCCCCTGGAAGAAAAAACATTTCAAAAAATAACCCAAGCAGGTATCATCACATAAAAGAGTTATGAATTAATAATGCATGCAGTTTGGGATGATTAAGTATAAAGAAATAGTTTAAAATCCTAGATAAGTAGAGTTTATCTTTCAACAAGGAAGAATAAAAATTGTTGAATCAACGGTATTGGGAGCAGGCTTATTGTTACTTTTTAGCAGAAGATAACTGGCAGCAGAAATTTTTTAATATGGTGAGGATGGAGGGTGGGCATGGAGAGATAAAATTGTCATGCAAAAATAATTGAAAAAGCAAGAACAAATCAAAGAATTTAACAAAGTACAGAAGAATGTCAATAAACATGGAATTTAACACCAAATTTAACTATTAATAGGAGAAAATAACAATGAGGATTCCATAAAAATAAATAAAATTATTGATATATGGTTCGGGTCCATGACGGTGGTAATTAATTTTCAACGATTAAAGATTTTAAAATAGAATGATAAACTTGCTTTCTGTTTCCTCATCCGAATCAGCTTATGTACTATTAATTAAGTAGAAATTAATTTTTCATGTTGTGTTCTAAAATTCAAAATGCACTCAAAGCTTTAGCTATATTTTTTGGTGTTGATTCTAAAATAACACCAAATGATATTTAATATAATTCTTTGTAAGGACTGCGTGAAATTACTTCACTTGCTTATAAATCATGATTGAATCACTCACCTGTTGCCTCCACTGTGATATTGATGCCTTTAATGAAGAGAGAAAAGAATCAGAACTCATTGGGGCACCATTTATTTCAACAACTACTCCTCCGTGGTCATCACTTCTTCCGGGAAGAATCTCAGCATCAGACAACAAAGGCGACATATTGGATGAAGAATTTACTGAGGCTGATGAAAACTTTTCATTCAACTGACCTGTGAGTCTTCTCATGAAACCTGGTGGAACTTGCAGAAGAAAAGCACAACTAAGCAAATCATTTTTTATTATACAATTAACATAACAATTTTATAATGGTTAGTCAATAAAAAAAAATGAACCAATTTGCACGGATTAAGTGGAAGTTTGACAGTTGGGCTAAAATAGCGTTTAGTTTCATTCAAAGAACCTGTGATTATCCCTTAAACTTATGCTTTGCTTTCTAATGGAAACCATCAAATAAATCATAAAGTTTACCATGCAAATTAAACAACTATAAATGAAGGTAAAATCAGATTAATGGGAAAGCAAAATGAAACAAACAAGTGGAGCTAAATGTGCATAACTTAAAAGCTTGGGATTTGGGGTTGCTTAGTTCCAACGCAATAGGGCCAATTGTTACGGCTGATAAAAGTGAGTGATCAGCAAGTAAATTAGATTACTTTTGCAATAAACTTAAAGGTATCAGTACAATTATTAGTCAAGAAAAAGACAAAAGTATCATATTGCCTTTATTTACATGACCTAAGGATATTTTACACCAAAAATAATCAATCAACTCGAATCAATCATCAAGGATCCAATATTCACACTCAAATCGAGTCACAAGGAAGAATGATGCCACAGTATGAAATATTCACCCCGGATAAATCAATGAAACTTTAAATCAAAGTAAAAATCAACATAAAAAATGAGATTAAATCAAACTAAACATTCAAAGGCACTGAAAATCAAGCTACATTAGCTCGCAGGACAAAGTAATTGAAATCGTTTGACTCCAAAACATGTATATTTCAGCAAGAAGAAAAATGCCCATAACGTTTACTTTGAGAAAAATCAAAGAGTTCTGACAGAAACTCCAGCACCCATTTAAACATATATCGCATGGATATTACATATTGCAATAAGATAATAACTTTTTGTCACTGATCATAAAATACTGAGATATAGATGGAATTGAACAATTAAATAGTGAAGAGAAGCGGTTCATTCCAAACAAAAACCTAAGGAAAACCCATAAGTGAAACACAGATGACCAGGAAAATAATCAAGGCAAGTATATAGAGTGCCAACAATAAAACTAAATTCCCTCAACAACAAAGCAATCTGAACTTTTTACTCTCTAGAAAACTCATAACTTTTAGCTTGAAAGCTCCAACAATATCATGGGGTAAGTATCCAACCATGGGCAAATTAAAAAATTGCACAAGTCCCTACAATGTTGTTCTTTTTGTACTGAATTCATCTCAGCCACAGCACCTTAACAGCTCACCTCATACTAGCTGAACATCATGAAGCTGCAAATGATGTCACCGCAAACTCTTCCTATAAAAAGCATAATGTACACAGTATAAAGTGAGTAATAAGAATCACAGAAAAGGGGTAAGTTCAGCTCACACTCTGAGCATCTCGGGTACCTAGCTTCTCATCTCTTCGCTCACATTTTCTCCCATACCTCCCCTCTCTCATTTTCAAGTTCCTTTATAAGGTTTTGTCGAGGGTGGATTCATCCTTCTGCTACAATCAAATGATGGATTTTGTCCTGCTGTAGCTTGGGCAAGCGATCCTTCTGATGCTATGTGAGAAGCATCATTCCTCCGCATGTGGTATGTGCCTTCCCTGTGGAGATCAATGGTAGCAGGCTTTGTATACATAGACGCCTTCTACATCTCAGGTATGTAATTGTCCCGCCTTGTTATAAATTCATTTTTATATTGTATATGTCAAGCTCACCATTCTCTCACGGATTCACAACGGCCCTGTACTCCAAATAATCCACCGCATACATTATATATCTACAAAATGACAGACGCTATCATTCCTCCATCCCTAAAGTTTCTCATGTTTCAACTCAAAACCATCTCCCCCACCCCGCTTATAGCCAAATGCTATCTCATCTGGAAAACCCGGACATTGAATTATTCTCCGCAAATGCATTTGACTAATTCTTTGACGACACCGCCCACCATCGTCTCAATCAATTACCTCGGGTCTTGGACAACCTCAACCCAATCCTGACTATATTCTCTTAAATCAAATGGATCAAAATCCCGCTACAGACCTCATCTCCACTCTCTCCAATTCCCTCTTTACATAATTACTAAATATCCAATCCAGCTCCAAAATATGGTGAACTCTTAAAAAGAGACTGAAATCTTCAAATAGATCGAGAGTTATTCAACTTGAAAATGAACTCAATTGCTTTACCATGGGAAAATCAAACCATGACCCATACCTCACTGCAATCAAATCTCTTGTTAACAATATCACCATAGCTTGCACCACACTCGATACTGAAAACATCATTCTCCACATCCTCAATGACCTTCCACCCACCTATCAAGCCTTCAAACAGTTATCTGAACCAACTAAACACCCATCTACATAAATGATTTGTATTCCCTATTGTACAACGTTGGAAAACAACATTCTTGCTTATTCACCCAAAGATAATCTTGTCCATTATAAACTAATCAATGCAAAACTTCTCGGAGCAGACCCATCTCCACCCAACGAATCCACTACACACCCAAACGGCAGTCACTCTATAATATATGCCAAATCTGCAGCAAATGAGGTTACCCTGGCACTATCAGTTGGCATAAATCCAATCTACACTACAAACCAACTCCCCCTCAACAGGCTCTATTATCCACCCACAACCTTCCAAGACTGGTTGCATGATCATAGAGCTTCTTCACATCTGAAACTTAATCAAGACGCCATGCAACACTACCATCCCTATTCCAAATCAAAACAGGTTATAGTCGGAAACACGCATTTGGTTCCTAACTTCCATGCTGGCAAAAAGCAATCTTCCCACACCAACCCATAAGCTCACTCTCTTCCATTATACTATGTTCTTCAACTCTCCAAAAAACTTCTTTTTGTTCACAAATTGGCTAATGATAATTGTTGATTCACCTTTAACTCCACTAGTTTTCGCATCCAAAAAAAAGCATACCAACAAGCACCTCCTCCAAGACAACACACATAATGGATTCTACTTACTACCCATGCAGTCATTTTCAATCACCATGCTAAAATTTACTACTATTGTTATTCCTTGGCATCAATGGTTCAACCATTCTAAGCAACGCATTACCACTTCTATCTCCCATACCGATGAATCGTTACATATTTCCACTTTTTTCTTTCTTGCAATGCTTGTACTTCATCAAAAAATCACAAACTTCCCATTACAAAAAGCACTTATTCATATCTTCCTCTAGAATTGATACAAACAGATGTATGGGGTCCATCCCCAACTCCCTCGATCAATGATTACAAATATTATATTTTGTTTATTGATGCATATTATCACTACTATTGGATATACCTATGGTCAAAATTTAAAACAATGGAAAAAAATTATACATTTCGGAAATTGGTTGAATATTAGTTCACACATTAAATATATTTAATCTAATGGAGAAGTTGAATACTGCTCAAATACAATCCGCTTAAATCTACAAAACCATGATACCAGTAAAAGATTTACTTGCCTTCATAAACCCTAACAAAATGACACTATTGAAAATCAAGATTATCATCTTCAAGACACCACTTGCACAGTTCTACTCTACTCAGCTATTCTGTATCAATTCTGAAATAGCACACTCCTCGCTTAAAATTACTTAATAAATAGACTGTCATTCATATTTAACAAAATGTTCTCCTCCTATTAGCTAGCATACAAACAATAATCAATCTATGGTCATCTTTGAGTATTTGGTTGCACTTGCTTCCGTGGTAACCATCCCATTTCCGTAAAAAACTTGAAGGTCATTTGAAAACAGTGGAAAAAAATATAAGAGGGCTGAATCACTTTTCTATATTAATGTACAGCTATTTAAAGAGTTTTAACTAGGGACAAAAAAGATAGCTAATCTCCCTAATTAAGGAGAAATATACTATTCAACTAACTACCCTAATATAGAAGAAAATAAATAGTGATTCCTAACATCACTCATACAATTCATAAACCTCTAAATATAGAGTATAACAAAAATGGACTATAATCATAATTATTTTATGAAATCTTTCAACACTCCCCCTCAAGCTGGCATGAAGATGTCACTCAATGCGAGCTTGCTAACTAGATTCTCGTGTTGCACTTTGGAAAGAGATTTTGTTAGTATATTTGTTGTTTGGCTAGCAGTGGATATGTAGGACATACATATCACACCACTATCTATCTTCTCCTTGATGAAATGTTTGTCAACTTCTACATGTTTTGTTCTGTCATGTAGAACTGAATTATGAGTTATAGACATTGCAGTATTGTTGTCACATTAAACTTTAATAGGTGTTGGTATATGAATCTTCAACTCTTCCAGGAGTTTTTTTATCCATAACACTTCATAGAATCCATGTGCCACCGAGCGGAATTTTGCTTCAGAACTACTTCTTGTCACAACACTTTGGATTTTACTTTTCAAAGTAACCAAATTTTCATCTACAAAAGTACAATAACCTGAGGTGGATCTTCTATCATTTACATCTCTTGTCCAATCTGCATCTGTGTAGGCCTCTATCAGAAGATGTTCTCCCTTTTTAAACAAAATTCCTTTTCCAATAGTTCTTTAGAGGTATCTCAAAGTTTTGAATGCAGCTTCAAAGTGAGTAGGTCCAGGTGAATGCATGAATTGACTCACAACACTCACTGCAAAGTCTATGTGAGGTCGAGTTTGAGCCAAATAGATTAGTCGCCCTACCAATCTTTGATAGCATGCTTTGTCCATTACCTCATTGGTTATTGTTGTCTTCAACTTTACATTAGGTTCATTTGGCGTATATGCTGCCTTGCAACTTTTCATTCATGTTTCTTTGAGTAAATCAAGTACATATTTACATTGATTGACAAAATTACCTCCTTAGATCTTGCAAACACTATTCCAAGGAAATATTTCAGTTTTCCCAAGTTCATAATATCAAATTCAGCTTCAAGTTTCATCTTCAAGTTGTTAATCTCAAGAGAATCATCCCCTGTCGTGATTATGTCATCTACATACACAATCACAATGAC